TCTCGCCACGACGCGACAATTTCGTTCCTACTGCCCCACGATGTCATGCGATTACCCTCAGTTACTACTCTACTCTCAATCACTCTTTGGTACTTCCGCTTTTGTCATATTTCCACGTGGCAGGTGACTTCACTGCTGGATTTGGCGACCAACCAAAACAGGTGATAAAAGTTACTGTAGCTATATCATAGTTAATCTGAAACTAGGGGGTGTTACCGTTATTCTGTGGTCGTTACAAAGCGAATTTAATAGCGAAATAATCAAAAGGGATTGCTTTTTATGTTAATGATGTCAGAGTTGAGTGAATGGAAATGCTTAATTTACATAAATTTGTATTTTTTATTGCAAAAAAGCATTTTTGATGTCTGTTGCGAAGTGTGAAAAACAAGTTGTATTTTAACTAGTAAGTAGAACCCAAACTGTCGTCGTATCGTGGGTCACACCTTTGCGGCACCCTTTAGTGGTCTTCTTTTTTGACTATTTTTGTTTTAGTGTCATTTTTGTAAGTGAATAAGATTTTTTAAAATTTTGATTGAAGTTGCGATTGACTATAACTCAGGGCATAATTCTGATAGGTCATCGATTTACTTTTACTTTTTTGCATTGAACTGTTTCTGAAACGAACAGTTCGTTTTCGTTGTTAACGTGGGCCATTTTTTAGTTTTGTTTTTCTAACATACAACCACCCTAAGCGCCTTCCTGGGGAATGAGTCATGCTGGGGCGGAGTTAATGAAATAAATTGTTGGTGACTGAAATGATGCACTTCCCACTTTCTCTTGGGCATGACTTCCTTTGGTGTGTGTGTAATTCCTACGGAGTGCTCTGATTTCTCGTTACGTCTGAAATTAATTACATTTCGCTACACCAATCTGTTCACTATTCATTGCAATACGTTGAACGTTTAAACTGTAAATTGATGATACCTCGCCTAATTTATATGAAATTGACGTGTGGGAATGAAGTGGCCCATCTCTGACTCGTTCTTGTAAAGCTGCTGAAAGTAAGCGTAGACGAAAAACTGGGTGGAACTGGCTCCGGTGCAGCTTAACAAGTTGATTGAGAAATGAAGGACTGTTTAGTTTTGTTGGTTATCGCTTGTTTCCAGGAAATTTGCGTCATCACTTGACCTTTGGATGAGTTTTGGGGGAACCACTCCCTTTTCTACTGATATCGTTTTGTTCCAAAGGCCGGCCCTGGTTTGTCACTCTAATCCTAACAGGTTTAACTCTGATTTCACTCTTCTAGTTCCGTTTTTACCATCTTTTTGTCATGGGATCACCTCGATGAGCTTGCGTGATCCTTTGCTTCAGTGGAGCTCTGTCCGGGGTTCTCAAGTTGACACACAGCATTTAACCCAGGGAGAAGATGCGAGCTCATCAGCATCAGCTCCTGTATGAGGTCATTGACGAAGGAACATTTGTGACGTACAGATTGGAAAAATAAAAGTCCTCTGGAGAATAGTTTCTAGCAAATTCTAGGAGGAGGCAAATTGGCGTTTGGTCGTAGGAACTAGGATCTAGGAAATTGTCCGGGATAGGAACCGGGGCATGTAAAGATGAAGAGATCAATTTTTGCTACCAAGACAGTCCTGAACCCTAATAGCAACCGTTCAATTTGAGTATCTGCAGGTTTTTCCTTTTTTTTTCTGAAACTTACAGTTTATATTGAGAATTTAAACAGTCTTCTCCTACACCAATTTACGAGCATTGCTATTGGTGCTCAAATATAATCAGCCAATCACAGCCGCGTATGTCGCAAGACTCTCCTTGTTTGTTCTGTTCCGAGGAACTTTGAATTTGTGTTTTTTTGCGTCTGCTTTTATTGTGACCTGATCGTTTTCTCCCTCAATTGTCATTTTCATATACTAACTCCTTTCTTGGCTTTACGCTCGAAACCTGGACGATTTTTTTTCATTCAGGCATGGAGTCAACGGAAAGGAATAGTCGAGGTCGATCAGCTGAGCTAGATGGACGACGGATCAACGCCGTGTCTCCCATGCACTTGGGAGAATCGAAAATGTTGCAAAGTCTCTGGAAGGAGCATCAACAGCAACAACAAGAACAACAACTACAGCAACAGGCCTCTTCTACCCCTGCCTCGGCAGATAATCGAGGTCACATGAAAGGTGTGTTCCTAGGGCCTGTCTGTAGAGAGAGCCCTGCGATACAAAAAAAATTGAATTCTTAAAATTCCTCATGCTCCTTCAAATTGCAGCGATTAGT